TTCTATTGTAGTAAATTCTAAAAAGCTAGCTTAAAAAAAAATTGAACTGTGAAGGTTAGGCAAAAAAACAAAAGAAAGATAACATTTTTTTTGCACAAATCCTACCCAACCCCCCACTATCTTGTCGATGGGCCTTGCTCAATTTTTGAAAATTACCTCACCTTTTACCCTGAGGAAACTGTCCTGTTCCTTTTTCCTAGTGTATAGAGTTGATTACTCTGCCTTTGGACTTCCTATTTTATTATGTTACCCAATATATTATTTTCATTTTTAGATATATTTTATGTGTATGAATGTTATGCATGCTGTATCTGTGTACTGCATTCATGCCTAGCACCTGTGGAGGTCAGATGAGGGCATTGTGAGCCTCCATGCGGGTGTTGGGAACTGAACCCAGGTTTTCTGCAAAGAGCAGCAAGTGCTCCTAACTGTGAAGCCATTTCTTTTGCCCTAGAATTCCCCCACCCTGCTCTCTAATGAACTGTTAAGCAAGGCAAGGGAAAGACATTAATATTTATTGAAGAATAGATAGTATTTTAATCTCTCTAGATATTTTAAAGAAATATACAAAATGAGGCAGGCTAATTTCTTGAAGAGGGGAAAGACATGTAGATATTATTTAGTAATAAGGATGATGTGTAGCAGCTTCTGTGGAATTTACTACAGATATAAACTCAGAAACCCTCCTTTTTAGAATTATGTGACTCAAAGACTTAACCACTTGGCTGAACTTCATTTGTCACATCTAGCTACCTTCTCAGCACTTAATTCAGTTAACTATTTATAGTGTGAACATTTGCCCAAAACACCATGTGGAGTACTATGGCAATAAAAGGAAAAGATTCAGATCTAAGCAGCTGCTATTAAATCATTCCTACATGAATTGCCCCAAGCACTGAACTCACATCTTTTCCATTGATGTCAGGGTGAAATCCCATTGCACATAATTTGCTGTTAACACAGGGAGCATGCACTCACTTGTCCAACACTGGCATCTCCATCTTTCCTGTTGTTACCCACCTGACATTTTATTCATACTTTCCTGCTGGCGATTTTTGTTTTACTTTCTGACCAGGTGTGTATCTCTCTCCTCTAAAGATAAGATCTGCAGGTGAAATCTGCCTCATTATCTGTTTTTAAAAATGGAGTTGTATTAAAGCCTAGCTATGCTCATTCCTTTATGTGTTCTTTATGCTAATTTGTGCAATACCTATCCCATGGCTCCCAAAACAAAAAGCATTTACTGCCCTGCCATTTATACAGAAAGCTGGCTAACTTCTATTTTAGTGATTGACAAATCTTTACAGGAAGGATTTGTGCTTTATTCATCCAGCTTCAGCCCATTAAAGTTGAAGAAATCAATGAATGCTCAAGTTTACTGTACATTGAACATTATTTTAGCCATTTCTGACACACCCTGAAAAAAAAACTTCTCTGGTTTAACACAGCACTATCCAGTGCTAGAGATAATAGAGAGAGATATCAATAAGCAAAGTAATAGAATATATTAACAATAGAGATATAACGAACAACAGACTGAGATGAAGCAAGAAGGGTTTCCATAGTGGGTGGGTAGTTATGGTGGTAGTTGGGCAATTAGTTTTATGTGGGCACAGCTAAGGTGACTGTAGAGCCCAGAGTTATTTGGATTCTAAAGACTGTATAGGCTGAGTATGAGATGGGATGTTTTTGGCATATTTGTGGATTGACAAGGGAGCCATTTGCCCAGAGCAGAATAAGAAAGGAGTAGCGTGGGAGGAAATGAGCTCACTGTCTGTCTGTTTTCTAGGGCTGGCTTTATTGTGGTGAATTTCCATTTGATTGACATGGGAAGCCCCTGGAGGGAAGAGCAGAAGAGAGTCAGAATCTTTCATGTTTTAACAGGTTCTCTAGCTGCTGGGTGGAAAAATAGACTATAAGGGAAAGGGCAAAAACGAGAAGAAGCCAGGAAAGCATTTAGAAAGGTCTTGTGATAACCCCAGTATGAGGTGATGATGGCTGGGATTGTGATAATAAAAATGGGGTGATGACAGCACAAGTTTCTGGCTTCTTGGACCAGCTTAGTACCTAGCATAAGTAGCCCTCTCAAATAGGTGAGTAAAATATCAGCATTCCCATTGGGCTGCACAGTAGAACCACTCTTGGGAATTCCGATGGTACCACTATGGGATAGAACTCGGGCACTTCAACTAAAATCATAGTCATTATGCAATATTTATCTCTTGCTGTCTGGAATTTTCCAGTATTTCACTTGCCATAATATCCTCTGGTTGCATGCATATTGCTACAGATGATAGAATTCCATTTTTCTGGCCAAGTAGTTTTTCATTCTGTATATAATACTGCATTTGTTTATCTGTTCATCAGTTAACAAACACTGATATACATGAAACACATATAAATAAAATTGATTTGTGTTTCATGTATATATGCATAATCACATGTGTGTAGGCACATTAATGTGTACATGCTTGTGGAACCCTGAGTTTACATTGGAACTCTCCCTTGATTGCTCTCCACCTAATTCAATAAGGCAGGAGATGAACACAGAGTTCTGGATAACTAGCTTTCTCTGGAGTATGCTATGTCTCCTTCTCCCATGTACTGGAAGTCATTACAGATGACTTCCGTGCCCATCTAGCATTATGTGCATTCTGGGAAGTGGTGTTCCAATGTTCATATTATAGGCTACTTGTTACATGATGGGTGATTTAACCATTGATAATCTACCCACTCCCACTTTTGGTATTTTTTTTTTTGCTTTTTCTTTTAAAGTTTTTCAACACTGGTTTTTATTGTTGTTGTTTTGTTTTGTTTTATGTATTGGCTTACAATATGGCACCATAGAAATAAGTGCAAATACTGTATATGTTAAAATAAAAATTAAATGAAAATAAGCAGGCTGTGCATGGTGGTGTGTTCCTATGATAGTGCTTTGCTCCTGTGATCCCAACACTTAGGAGACAGCCTGTAATATATAGTAATATAGTAATATATAGTAAGTCCTGTCTCAATAAAGAACATATTAATTAAGTATATGGCATAATTAATGATAACCATAATGTAACAAAGTATAGGAAAAGGCCTACATTTTTCCTTTTGATTTTTATCCTTCTGATAACAAAGAAAAAGAATTTGACAAGGAGATAATTTTCTACCCACAATTAATCAAAGTCTTGATTAAGAGGCCAAACCTTTCAATTTCTTCAGAGCCACATAGGCCTGGGCCCTAGGGAGGATGGTGAAGTTTTTTTGTAAGAGCAGCCTTTGGCTTTACATTGCTGACTGTAAATTGATGAGTAAGTACTGGGCATTTCAAATTGTAGCCGCTCCTTTATAAAGCAGTAAATATGAGTGACTAGTCGCAGGTCATGTCTGAGCTAGTAATTTCCTCTTCTACTCTTTAACAGGCCCAGGACATACTTTATACTCTTTAGTGATCTTCTTTCAGTTGGTTGTGAGCTGATGATGTTTCAGCAAAGCAGTGCATCCTTCATATTTCAGATGGATATTGTTTCATAAAAGGTCACCTGATTTCTAGAAACCCTGCATTTAGTATAGAAGTGGAGGTGTGAATACAATTGACTGATTGTCAGAATCACTATACACAGCTTTGGAAGTGAAGCCTTCCCATAAACCCAACTGAGAACTTTCTACACTTGTGAGTGATTTGAACCTCCTGACCTGGTAAACTGCACTATTCTCCCACAGCTTGCAATGGGCTGCAGCTAATATGCCAGGCAGCATTCTACAGCCTTCTACTAATGGCCTGGAAAGGGAGAAGGTTCAAAGAGGCTTAGTTCCCAGGCCTGCTAATGAGCATGAGGCCTCTTCACCCTAACGAACTGGTTCTTGTGTGGGATTCTTTGTCATCTCTTTTTGAAGGGAAGACAGGCAGGAGTTCACAAAAGCAATGAGGTATTTATGGGAAAGGGAACATTCAGCTGGGCCACTCGGAGGTGGCTTGGAGGGGAGCAACAGAGCTGGCAGAGGTCATGACTGGGCCAGCAGGGTTGTAAGTGTGAGACAAGACCTCCTGCCAGCCAGGCCTGTTGCTGGCAACAGTGACCAGCCTGAGAGGATATTTTGGGCTAAATGGGGCAGCACTGGGATCTTCAGGAACCTTTACATAGTCTTTCCAAATTCCTTTCTAAACTGAAATGATTACTGTTAGAACTGATCAAATGAATGTGACAATATTAGTCATCAGTATTACAGCCTTCAGAAAGTCTCCCAGATATTTTTCTGTATTTCTGTCTGCCCCGCCCCTGCCACATCCCATTTCTGGATTAATCAGTACATGAGCAATGAGCATATACCAAAAATACTGCCTCTAACCTGAGCATCTTTGTAGAAAATCCATGTTCCTTTTTTCTCAAGAATGTCTTGAAAAAAGATGTCCTGAATTTAAACGTGATTATTTCCACTGAAATTCATGCATTTGAGTTCCTAGAATTTAATGTTCATCTCTATAACAAGTACATCTGTACAGTTGAAAATCTTGTCCTGCTATTACAAACTGATAGTCTTTAAAATACATATACATTAATATTCAAGTTCACAAATTCAAAGCTGTGAATGACTATAGTTCATAAACATGTTTCTACATTTTAAATTTAACCAAAAGAAAATGTGTCTGTGATATAAGATTACTCTGATCGTACACCTACTATAAAAATTACAGTTTCAGTCACTGATTAGATTGGTGTTAGACCTTTTAAAAGCCAAAGCTGCAAAAACTATAAACCAACAACAATAAACATTAAAAAAGAAAGCTGCCACTTTCAACAATCAGAAATTTAAGAAAATCATAGGCTTGTGGTTTTGTTCTTTGTTTTGTATTTATTTGCTCTTTTTATCATTTGCCCCAGTAAAGACATATATTTGGAACATATACATAATTTTCCTTCAATGACCTATGAGATGCATTCAAAGCTGACACCACCACCCCCCCCCGGCTGACCCCTCATGCTTAATCCAATCTTACGTTCTGTTTCCAGATAGCTGATCAGCTTCCTTGGATTTTGCTGATGACCCCGGAGAGTTTTGCCTGAAGATGGAAACACTGGAGTCGGAGCTGACCTGTCCTATTTGTCTGGAGCTTTTTGAGGACCCTCTCCTGCTTCCCTGTGCACATAGCCTCTGCTTCAACTGTGCCCACCGCATCCTGGTCTCTCACTGTGCCACCAACGAGCCTGTGGAGTCCATCAACGCCTTCCAGTGCCCCACCTGCCGGCATGTCATCACGCTCAGCCAGCGAGGTCTAGACGGGCTCAAGCGCAACGTCACCCTACAAAACATCATTGACAGGTTTCAGAAAGCATCTGTGAGCGGGCCCAATTCTCCCAGTGAGACCCGCAGGGAGCGGGCCTTTGACGCCAACACCATGTCCTCTGCCGAGAAGGTTCTTTGCCAGTTCTGTGACCAGGATCCTGCCCAGGATGCTGTGAAGACCTGTGTTACTTGTGAAGTGTCCTACTGTGATGAGTGCCTGAAAGCCACTCATCCGAACAAGAAGCCCTTTACAGGCCATCGTCTGATTGAGCCAATCCCGGACTCGCACATCCGGGGGCTGATGTGCCTGGAGCACGAGGATGAGAAGGTGAATATGTACTGTGTGACCGATGACCAGTTAATCTGTGCCTTGTGTAAACTGGTTGGGCGGCACCGCGATCATCAGGTGGCAGCTTTGAGTGAGCGCTATGACAAATTGAAGGTTAGTCCGATCCGCCTTAAGCCAACCCCTTTCTGCCAGCACATGTCATGGAAATAAGAAGTGTATTCACTGCTAGCTACATGGCAGGTGAAGGATTTCTCTTCACCTTTGTTGTCTGATTAGTTGTAGCATGTTTTTGGCAGCCTATAAATATTACACAATGAGGGTATCTTGTAAAAGTTGACTGCTGCTTGTAATTTCAGTGTTGTCAAGGTGAGGGCAAATTCTAAAACTCTGGATCATTTTCAACTCTTGCTGTTTTCTGGATCATTTTCAATGTCTGCAGTTGTTGCAAAGAGAGGAGCAAGGGAAAGCATTGGGGGAGGAATTGTGAGAAAAAGAGAAAGAGGAATATAGAAATCTATCTTTTGAGTATTTATAAACATTTATTTTCTTCACTCATCCAGGAAAAAGTAATTTATCCACATTGTATCTTTATCTAGCTACTATACAAACAAAAGACTAGAAAGAAGAATGTGTGTAACAAATGTCTGTACCAAATGTGAGATTTTAGAGGACATATGATGTCCTTGTGTAAATGATATTTGGCTTATTGGTGAGCTATCATGTTCTGATAGTCTCAGGTTTCATGAGAGCATTCCTATCTGTATAAATTTCTTTTATTTAGTGAGTTTGCAGGCAAGACTGTCTGAATTTCATCCACTTCTAATTTGAAATTATCCAAATTCCAGCTTGGAGGGTAGTAATTAATATGGTTATACGTTAACTTAAAAATGCTCTCTAAATAAGGTTAGAAAGCAGCAGAGAACAAATAAAAAAAATCTGATGTCTTTTCAGCTTCAGTTGACAGTGGATCTAATTATTGAAAACATGGCTGAGAGAGTTTGTGTGAGGTGTTATGTTTGTCAGCTAATTTTTAGATCACAAGACACTAATTAAAAGGAGACAAAGTATAAGTTAAAAGTCCTAAGTAAATATATACTGAAGTCTTTTCTCTCAGGAAAAAAAAAAAACAGAGCAACTTGTTGAGCAAATAGGATTAATCAAATGATCCAAAGAGTATCATTGTTCAGAGAATATCACCACCATTAACAAATGGTTCCTATCCCTTCTCCTAATATTAATGACTACTTATATTTACTTAGGATACATAGGTGAGTTTACCATGGTGAAGATTAACGAACCACATCTGGAACTCAACTTTGTGATTGTTTGTGTGCTAAAGGGAATCCCTGCTTCTAAATGTGATGGGGGAAGCAAATGCAGTACCTGCACATCATATCTCACTTCAAATGTCCAGGGAGTAAGTGGCTGCAGTCCATCTTTTTACCATGTATGGAAGGTTGCCACAAGAATTTAGGTAACACAGGCAAGGGAAGATAGCCACTCATTACATTTCATGTAATGCATTGCACAGTGGTAGCAGAGAAAAGTATCACCAAAGTGTTTAACAGGGAAAGGAGTGTGCATGAAATTATGACTAAGTCAATTGTTCAAAATTCCAGGTAGCTGTTAGCTTGTGAAATCTGAGGTGATCTCTTTTAAACCTTTCTTGTGCTTTGGTGGTATGTCCTTTGGAATGATTGAATAGAGATTTTTGGTCTTCCTTTCCTTTTTATCAGGAAAGTTTTCTTCTCATTAGATTAAGGGTTGTTTGTTAGAACAATATCCTCATAATGAGGTTGCGTATTCAACAACTTCCAGGTTGCTTATTTGCATCTGGTAATCAAGTTCTGCTCAGTGTCCATGTGCTGTCATAGCATGGTCATTAATTATTTACATAACATCTTCAAATTTATGAGGAGATACTTCAGTAGCCCTTTCTGTGATGAAAATGCAAGTCTTTAGTCATAAGTTCAGTACATTTGTCTAATCAAGCATACGGATTACCAGGAATTGATATTGTCACAGGGATGGCCTGACAATTAACCATGTTGTATATTTTATTTTCTAATTACAGAAATATAGGCATATTAACAACCTCTAATGCACCAAAACACATGTGCAGCTATTTAATAACAAAATATGTTTATGAGCAATTATTTACAGCTATACCATGAAATGTGTTTTTAAGCATTTGCATGGACAACAAACCAACAGAGCATGTTTGTTCAGGAACATGTCGTTCATCTTAGAAAAAAAAAACATAATCATATAGGACATTTGGGAGGTGAAGCTCTTAGTTATTACAGACTGATGAATATATGTACTTTCTTGTTTTACCTAAACCTGGTACAGTATAAATGCTGATTTAAAAAAAAAGAATTAATAGCATAATAAAGAGAAGCATCCAAGGAACTATATGTTTTAGTAGTTATTACACTGATCTGAAAAAGTAAATTGTGCTCCATGGGCTTTCATAATGATGTATAGTGTGCTGATACGATTGCAACGAAAAATTGTTTACTTTAATAACCTAAATTTGGGGGATTGTTTTTAATTTCATTAGATTTCAGTATGTAAGGTGTATGAAATGAAGTATAGCTGGACAAGGTGGTCTATGCCTTTAATTCCACCATACAAGAGGCAGAGGCATATAGATATCTGTGAAATGAAGACTTGCCTGGGCTTCATAGTGAGATCTAAGCCAGCAAAGACTATATACTGAAACCCTATCTTAAAAAACAAAACAAAAACAGAAATGAAATATGGTTCTGTACATTGGTATCTTTAACTGAAGGAGAAAAGATAAAATGCCATAAAATTTCAACATGTAGGATTCATAGATGTAAAATCTTCCACATCTCCATAGAGACCTTGTCTCAAAAACTAAAAATATTAAAAGTATCTTTCACATCATTTGAAAGAGTGTCATGCCCTTAATCTGTTCTTTTCAGGAACTATTCTTGGTAAATGCTCATGGTATAGAGAAGCAATGAGAAAATTAAACTCACAATTCCTAAATTCTGTTGTTTAAAGTAATAAGTGATATCAAAACATGGACATTTCAAAACATCATTTTAATTGAGTTTTAAGAAACCCTCCAGTCCTACATACTCTACTTAAAAACTGGATTTGTGAGCCACATAACTGACATATAAGAGAGATTAATAATGCAATCTAGAGTTTCCAAGAAATTACAGTGAAGTAATTCCTCTCTTACTGTGTGCACATAAAACACTGTGCCTCTTGTTTCTTGACTCCAGTTGCACTTATGAAAATATGCCAACAGAGAAAATTGAACTTTCTTTGTCCTTCACGTGCCCCTTCAGACAAGCTAAAACTGAAGCTTGAAACTGCTTTTGCTATGCTCACTTTACAGGCAGGGGTGGGAGTTTCTTCATGGAGCACAGCTTTCAGTGGATCTAACCATTAAGAACTTCAAATTATTCCTCTGAAGGTTCCAGTTTAAGCTCAACTTTATGTAGCACTTTGCATACCGATGCGGAGATAGGGAATTTCACTCTTAGGTTTATTTTTTTGTTTGTTTGTTTGTTTATGAGCTAGGGTCTCCCTGTGAGGCCTTGACTTGCCTGGTACTTGTTTTATAGCCCAAGTTGGTCCTGAATTCTCAGCAGTTCTCCAGCCTCAGCAATGTCAGTGTATATTATCATGCCCAGATGTTCAATGTTTTGAAAATCTTTCCCAATTTACAACAATGGTGTGAGGGGATGCCGAGCTACAGATTGTTTTCTTTTTTTCTTGGCATTTCTATTATATATTTCTACTATAAAAATAGTAATATGGCTGGGCCTGGTTGCACAGTCCTGTAATCTCACTTACTCTACTGAGATTCTCAGTGGTTCTCAACTTTCCTAAAGCTATGATGCTTTAATCCAGCTCCTCACATTGTGGTGACCCCCCTACCATAAAATTATTTCATTTGCTACTACTATGAGTTGTAATCTAAGTATCTAATATGCAAGATATATGATATGCAGCCCCCAAAGAAGACATGACCTACGAGTTGAGAACCGCTGCTCTAGAGGCTGAGGCAGGAGAGTATTAAAGGTTCAAGGCCAGCCAGGGCAACATAATTTGTGACACACTCTTTCAAACTAAGAGCTAAAAGGAAGGACTGGAGGTATTCACTGGAAGAGTGCTTGCCTAGAATGTGAGAGGCTATGGACTCAAATGTCGTTACCACCAAAAATCCCATGTATGTATTCTGGTTACTCAGTTACTCAGAGAAGTACATTTAAGCTAAGTGGAAACTAAAGAGAGTGAACTTTTAAAGTTCTCTTCATACCACATTTTCCTTGTTTCAAGATATTTGAAGCCATGTTACTAATAACTTACAGGATTATAGACTTTTCGAGAGGTAATAAATAATTAAGTTAATATCCATTTATTAAGCGAAGGTCATATGTACAGAAGCAGTCATCCTTTCACAAAGCTAACAGACTTGTAGGAAAATCTAACATACAAATAATTTTCCTTAAAAAAAAAAAGCCGGGCAGTTGTGGTGTATGCCTTTAATCCCAGCACTTGGAAGGCAGAGGCAGGTGGATTTCTGAGTTCAAGGCCAGCCTGGTCTACAGAGTGAGTTCCAGGACAGCCAGTGCTAGACATAGAAACCCTGTCTTGAAAAACCAAATAATAATAATAATAATAATAATAATAATAATAATAATTTTCCTTGCTGCTAGTAGAAAAAGTCATACTGTATCCAAATCAAGGACACAGATTCCGGTCTGAGAGATGGAAAAAGTCTTTCCAGGGGGAAAAAATAGAACTCCATACACCACTTTCAAGTTTTATATTAGAAAGCAATGCCAAGTTTAATAAAGATCTATAAAAACTCCTGTATCCATCATTCAAATTTGACTTTTTATCACATACTACATCCTTTCTGTAATCCTGTACAGGTTTATGAAGCAATTCACAAGTATTTTACATTAGATTTTCATTTAAATTATATATAGGTTTGATCATATTTTACCACATTATATCTTAAGAAAATGAGTCATGCATTTTTTAAAATGTTTTGGTTATGTGGGGGTGGTCTCACCAGTTCCAATTGTCTCCTTCAAAAATATACTTTCTGTTTGTGCATATTTCGTGGCAATTTTTCTGTAGTCTACAATGTGAATGTGTTT